AAGCTTCAAAGGAATTTTCTTTGGAGAGGTTGGGAGGAGGAGAAAAAAGTGCACTTGGTGAGTTGGGATCAAGTCTGTCTCCCCAAATTTGAAGGGGGGTTAGGTATAAGGAAGCTGAAACAATTTAACTCTGCCCTTCTATGTAAATGGATTTGGAGATTTTCTGTAGAATCTGATTCTTGGTGGAGGTCTCTTATTGCCAGCAAATATGGTGTGAGTTGGGGAAATTGGAGAACTAGGGATCCCCCTCCTAACTGGGGTATCTCTTTGTGGAAAGGGATAATGAAGCATTTTCCAGATCTGGCCAGGGGGATCTCAATCAGGGCTGGTAATGGTAATAGGGTCAAATTCTGGAAGGACTCTTGGTGTACTGATGCTCCTCTTGCTGAGTCCTTCCCACTCCTTTTCCAGTGTGCTTCAGACCAAGAGGCTTCTTCAGTTGCTGAGTGCTATAGTACTTCTGGTGGTTCAGTTCTTTGGACTCCCTCTTTCCGAAGAAATCTCTTTGATTGGGAGGTGGATGAGGAATTGAATCTCCTGACCTGTCTCCAGTTTCAAGAGTTGGATTATAGCTCGGAGGATAAGCAGCTTTGGAAGTGGAATTCTGATGGGATGTTTTCAGTTAAATCTTTGGCTGCTATGCTTTGTAGGAGGGGTGCTCCTGATTTCCCAGTTCAGCAAGTGTGGAATCCCATTAGTCCGACTAAAGCCAGTTTCCTGGTTTGGACTATGGCTCTTAACAAATGCCTTTCCAAGGAGAACCTTGTGAGCAGGGGAATTCAGATTTCGGACTTATCTTGCAGCTTTTGTGGGTGCAGTGCTGAATCTACTGATCATTTGTGTATTCACTGCCCATTCTCTGCTCAGCTGTGGAACCACTTCCTCAGCTCCTTGAATGTTTGTTGGGTGATGCCGAGGTTGGTAAAAGAGCTGTTATGCGGCTGGCATATTGTGGGCTTGAGCAAGAAAAAGAAGACTTTATGGAAGATGATTCCAAGTGCTGTAATTTGGTGTATCTGGACCGAGAGGAATAGAAGGGTGTTCAGTAATAAGTTTCCAAGTCTGGAGGACTTAACTCAGAAGTTAGTGGGCAAGCTGATTTTTTGGTTGTCTGTGGCAGCAGATTTTAGAAACTGTAATGTGTCAGATGTACTTTTTTCTTTGTCTTGATGGCATATGTAATTGCTGAATAGATCAGTCTGCCTGTTCAGGGACTGATCTCAGCCTCTGGTGTGTATTTCTTTCTCAATAAATATTACTTTACCTTTTCCAAAAAAAAATTCTGATTTATTTTTGTTTCAAATTTATCTTATTTTGTTTGATTGCAGTATAAATAAAGTAAAATAAGATCTGAAACAGAATGAAGTAAAACTCAAAACAAAATTAAACCAGAATTTGAATTCTTTTCATGTGCACTCTCGTGCATTTGTACTAGTGGAAATAAGATTACACTGCAACCAAATGCAGTCTTAACTTTTCAGACTTAATTTGTCCAATCTAGTCAAGGCGGCTGGGTAGTGCCTAGCTCTTATGACCTCCCAAGTCAGGGCATGGTCTAGGTGATCCCTAGATGGTAGAAAAATTATATACTCAACAATACAAGTTAGCAAACTTCATAGCATTTGGCAATCATGTGTCAAATTAGATTTGGTGCACGTAAACAACTTAATGTTTATGCTATCAAAGATAAACCCGATATACTCAAGTTAATCCCTTTCTCACTATGCAGGGGACTAATGGTTATATTACTTGCATTAGATTTATGTGCTAGGAATTTTTTAGGGTGTATTTTCAACTGATTTCCGTCCTTGATGTTTTCTGAGACGCTGGTTCTTGTCTGAGAGCAGCCACTTTGTGCAAATAAGATGCCAAAGGCTAGGTTGTTTCCAGTCCATCCCTCCCAAGACCCTAGATAGGTGGGACCAACATTGGGTGATGACCTTTTTATCCAATGTTATCAAGATTCCAATTTGAGCCTATGCAGTAAACCAAATTGGGTTTCTTGGATTCTTTTTAGGTGGCCGCTGAATTGCCTAGGAGGTCACCTGGTGACTTGGGCGATTGGGGAATACTATAATGTGTATGTAATATCCTGAAATAAATAATGTGTTGGGGCTGTTTTCGGGTCCCATTGGAATTGGAAATTCCACTACAGCTGAACTGAAGGCAATGATATATGGGATACAAAAAGCTAAGGAGATGGGGGTGGAAAAGCTGGTTGTGGAAGGGGATTCCAAAGTAATCATCAGTTGGCTAAAACAACACGACAGCACACCCTGGCTATTCAGAAATGACATCAAGAGGATTAAAAACCTATCCAAGGACATGCGGCTGTCAACTCGGTGGACTCCTAGAGCAGCAAATGGATTTGCAGACCATCTAGCCAAACAAGGATCACTGTTTCTGGGTTCAACTGTAAGAGTGAAAAATCAACTTAATAGTGGATACAGTACATTGTAGTGGGGTAGCCGAGGCTACTCATAAACTGTAACCCTTGTAATTTCTATTTTCATCAATGGAATTTCTTTTTATTGATAAAAAAACAACTATTTATATAACTTGTATAAAGAAAAATGAAATAGATTAATTATACATGCTTACTATTAGACCTGTTCACAGGTCAGGTTGGGCTTTGCCTCTGTATCAACAAAGCATGTTCAGGCCCAAGCCCAGCCCAACCATCGGGCCTAGATCTTCAGCCCAAGCCCAGCCCTCATGTAAAAGCCTGAAGCCCGGCCTGAAAGTGAGGTAAGAAGATATTTCATTTTTTTACTCAACAACAAAACTAATTTATATTAAATGACCTTAAAATTCACAAATAGTGAAGATCTTTTTTTTTTTCTTTAAAGATAAAATAAAAATTTTATCTTCTGTTTTTTATAAATACTGAAGATCTCACTATGGCATGAGAAAAGAGAAGAGGAACAAAGAAAATATATATGTATATATATTATATATATTATGTATATATTATATTTTTGTATTATAGAAAATATTATCAGGCCGGGCTCGGGCTTAGGCCAGGCTTTTTTGATAAAGCCTGATCCTGAGTCTGTGGGCCTAAAATCACATCCAAGCCCGTCAAAGAATGGGCCAGGTCGGCCCTTTGGGCTACCCGGCCCATGAACAGGTATACTTACACGTATCATTGATAAGCATTTGACTGTCTAGAACTGCTAGGTTTCTTAAGCCCTACCAAAAAGGAGGGATTTTTTTTGGAATCCAGAAGTAGCCCCAATTAGGACTGTCAACAGTCTGAAAGTCTGACACCTGATCTGCGATCCAAATCAATTATTTTGGATTTGTACATAAATGGTGTACATATATATATATATATGTCTGTGTGTGTGTGTGTGTGTGTGTGTGTGTGATTAGTGAATTAATTACTATGTATTTATATAAATTTATCACGTATGTATAAAACAAAAAATGGTTTAGGTCGTCTCTGGCTGGTTATAGCAGACTTGAGATTGATTCCCACCTTCACCTGGGTTGGGAGGGGCTATGGATATGAGGGACAGGCTACCCCCCATTGTGTAGCCCTATGAAGCCAAAATAACAAAAAAAAGAAAAAGTCATCATCATCCATGCCTTATCCCAACTGTATGGGGTTGGCTACATGAGTCCTGTTTTGCCAATCCATTCTATTTAAAGCAATATCCACTGTTAAAAAGTAAAAAAAAAAGGTGAAATGGACTCAGATTAAACCGGAGGATTTGATAGGATCAATCTGATCTATGATCCCTCTAGATCCAATAGGATTTTAGATTGGATTTGGGTATAAGATTTTCATAGTCAGGTCGTACTCTGATGTTGCTGGATCTAATCTGAATCCAACCTGATTAGAGCCCTAGCCCCAAGAGGATGTGGTAAGGTGGTAAAAGGTTGACTGAGATAGTTAGGTCGTGTGTTTCCAAGACAAATAACTGCATCATTGAGAGTTACTTGTTGGTAATTATCCAAGAACATAAGGTGAAGACTTGAGGACCTGTCATTGATAGAAGGTCAAGCCCTTCTGTAAATTGAAAGCAAGAATAGGATTAATGCACCCAACATATTGACAATTGAGATAGGACTTGGTTGAGTTGAGTTGACACTTTAATATCAAATAATACATAGAAATGTGCTCGACATAACTAGTTCTTAGATATTGGAGAGTATCAACTCCAAGGCATGAAAGAAAGATCATTAAAAAATTATTTTATAGGTTTGGTCACAAAATATTAATTGCAGGAGGACCATAACATAGTTCCACATGGTTGTATCTGATTAATTTCTCATAAACCAGAAGTGGGGATAATAATCAAATCTAACTATGTTAACCATTAATTCTTAGTTGTTTTGAACTATTCCTAGTGATTATGACTCTTTGCTTGCACATAAATTGAAGGAAAGTGAACTTTTCCTGGAAAGTGCTATTTTTGGGTATTTAGCTGCATTTAAAAGGGCCAAGGAATACATACATGTTTTCAATAAAAGTTGGTAGTAATTGTAGGAAACCGACATTGTTTTAGTTTTCCACTTTACATTTTCCAAAAGTAGGGTTTGTTTTCTATTATTAAATCTCATGGGACCCATATATTTCTCAACCACTCAGATTTATTTTCTAAATTAATCCAAACACTAGGAAATTCTGGAAGGTTATTCATTTTCCTATTGAATATTATTTTTCTATGGAATTTTCTTCATTTTATGTGCAACCAATACAGACCAGGGGACATTTCAAAAACATGAGGTAACTTGGGTGGCTTGGAAATTCTGAAGGTCTGGGTTTAGGCCTAGGATCACCCATTTTTGGCACATCAATTGGTATACCTTTTCTTTCTCTTGCAAATTCTATATTCAACCTTGATGTCTTGTTTTTCCTTCTTTTTCTTTCATTAATTTTACATTGAATATGTACTTCCTATACTTTCTGCCAGCCTTTCATTTTGTTCTGATACTCCTTGTTATTTAATCATCTTGGTTACCATGTTCTACCATCTTTTTATGTTTCGCAGGCAGCTGAAGATGCTGTGAATGTTTTCTATCATTATACATATGAAGGGAGTGTCGACATAGACTCTGTTACAGACCCTGGTATGAAAGCTTCCATACTTGCACAGATTAATCATTTTGGGCAGACACCAAAGCAGTTGTTCCTGAAACCCCATGTGAAACGACGGACTGATAGGAAGCTCCCTCCTCATCCACTCCGACACTGTAACCATCTTGTTCCAAATGAAGTGCGCAAGAATTCATCTTCAATAACGCAGATTGTCATGTTCCATGAAAAGATCCTTGTGGCTGGGGCAAATAGCTTACTTAAACCCAGAACTTTCACCAAGTATGTTGCATGGGGTTTCCCTGATCGTAGCTTGAGATTTATAAGCTATGATCAAGACAAACTCCTCTCTACACATGAGAATCTTCATGGGGGCAACCAGATTCAATGTGCAGGAGCCAGTCATGATGGCCAAATATTGGTTACTGGTGCTGATGATGGGTTGGTATGTGTTTGGAGAATTAGCAAGGATGGACCCCGTAGCCTGCAACGCTTGCTTTTGGAACGTGCACTTTGTGCTCATACAGCCAAGGTCACATGCATGCATGTAAGCCAGCCTTATATGCTGATTGTGAGTGGTTCAGATGATTGTACTGTCATTTTGTGGGATCTCAGCAACTTGGTTTTTGTAAGGCAGCTATCTGAATTCCCTGCACCAATTTCGGCCCTCTATGTGAATGACCTGACAGGAGAGATTGTAGCAGCAGCAGGAGTTATGCTTTCTGTATGGAGCATAAATGGTGACTGCCTTGCAGTGGTCAATACTTCCCAACTTCCATCTGATTTCATTGTCTCAGTGACAAGTGCAACGTTCTCAGATTGGTTGGATACAAACTGGTATGTAACTGGTCATCAGAGTGGTGCTGTCAAGGTATGGCACATGGTACATTGTTCTGAAGAGGCTAGCAGTCAAAGCAAGGCAGCCACCAATTGGATGGGAGTGTTGGGGCTGGGTGGCAAGGCGCCTGAGTATAAGTTGGTCCTTCACAAGGTGCTCAAGTCTCATAAATTTCCTGTCACTGCTCTTCATCTTACAAGTGACCAAAAGCAGTTGTTGAGCGGGGATTCTGATGGACACCTCCTATCTTGGACTCTTCCAGTGGAGAGCTTGAGAGCTTCCATTAATCAGGGGTGATAGGGTTAGCGAAACCCAGTTGGTAACTCCAGATTTTGTTATAATTGAGATAACTATCGATTCTTTATGCATAACTGTGATTGGGGTTTGTCCTTGTCGAGGAATTCTATATATACAGGGAAGCAAAAACAGGACACCAGGGCTGGCGTGGAAAAAAGAGTTGAGAACATCTGAACATGGTGACAAGGATGACAAACCTCCCTTTGAGTTTGGACACTTTCTGAAAATAGACAAGCATCAAAGGGGCATGTGATGAACACCATGGTTTAGCTTTCTGGATGAGATGGTAAGAGGGGCATGTTTTGGTGTACTTTATTGGTCAGGGTTATGGCTTCATCTGCTGACACATCAAGCTACAGGTTTTGGTGTAAATAGGTGGTGACTAACATGTTGTATAGTGTGATGAACGCTTGCTGGACGGTTGTTTCTGGCAAAATGTCCGGCAGAGGTTCATGCGATGAACAATAGCTGATCGAGTGCTTTCTGTCTAAATCTTTTCATTTGGTGTAACCACTCTGCAGTGGAATGTCTACTTCTCTCTTTTCATACGGACACTACACTCGTGCACACAGGTAGTGTTACTGTTAGATGATGGTAACGTAGGTTACCACCAACCCAAGTCTGATACACAGATACGGTCGTTTGTTTTGTATCTCTGGATTTCGGATTTCTTAGCTGCTGACGATTATCTCCATTGTTGAAGATCTCGAACGGTGGATTGACATAGAGTTGATAAAAGGCATTTGGGATTTTGAAAAAAAAAATTAATGTAACGTGCTATACATTACATGTGAACCAGAACCAATCCACTGACGGATGTCTGACATCACCCCACAAGGGATGTCAGGGCAAATTTCAGAAAGATAGGGTATGAGAGTAACTGTGAAATATATTTTTATCCTAAAATAAACTAAAAGTAGAAAAACCTGACACGTTGACCATAAGATTGCTCATCAATAGTCGCATTTTCATAGCGAAAGGAGATTAAAGAACAACCACAACACCTTAAAAATGTATAGATGAATTCACAAAGAGGTATATAAGCAATTCATCCTTAATTTTAAAACAGAAGAATCTAATAAGAAGGGGTTGTTTGGACCACATTGTCACAACCAAATCCTTAGATCATGCTACCAGCATGCCAATCAAGTGTTTTCGTGTTTGTCTTGGATGAGCAATATATGTATTTTGTATGTAGGGGATAATATTATAATTATTAGTTTTATTTTTCATAATATTGACGTATCCTTTTGTCAGAATTCCACAAGCTTAATCATCTTTTTAGGGGGGAGGTAGGTAGTCCAAAGGGAACCAAAAGAGCAAAAATTAAGAATGGGAGCCCTTTGATACGTGCCTAGTTTTTGTGTCATCTTGTTGTTTTATCTTGTGTTGTTGCTTAGTCACATGGGCTTACTCGATGCATTCGAGTACTGTACGGGGTCTCAACATTTATCGTTTGGCATTAGAGAAGGATCTCCTTAAGACCCTTGGGCTTTGTCGATCAACCCTCAACTAGCATGACACAATGAAAAGCAACCACGGCATCGTCAAGACACTGCATGGGTTGTCTAAAGCCCACAACACCAATGAGGCATCAAATGATGAACCCTCCAAAATTCAAGCCTCGAAGGGCTGCACAACTAAAACAAGAAAGAGGGATAAATCAGTCGATGAAGTAGCAAGTATGGGGATGCCTGTTTTATGCTGCAAGGCGATCATAGGTGAGACATGGGACTGAGTTGAAGAACTTCACTTCGACATGGAGACTATTGAAGAACTTCACTTCAAAATTGGCCCTTGCCAAAGTAGCCTTCAAGGCATGATGAACAAGTTCCAAGTACGGTTGGATGAGAACAAGTTCCAAGTACGGTTGGATGAGATGAGGGGTGAGTTCACTTGTAAAAAGGGCAATGACAAACTCTACCAGCACCTTGTCGATTCCGACTCTTGCACCTGTTAAGATATGATGACCAACACCATTATTGGGTGCTTGGGATGCACGAGAGCTTGACAATTTGAACAATATTTCTCTTCCATTGGAATCCATGATGAACAGATTCAAGTATATACGACTACCATGTATTTAAATGATATTGCAATGTTATGGTGGCATAGGTGTTGTCAGGAATGGAAATGGGGCGGGGTGGGACCGGGTTTGCCCCTTCTTTGCCCCGTATTCAACCTCGAATTCAAATTCCCCGCCCTGAACCCCAACGAGTCTAAAATTCCTAGCCAATCCTCATCCTCGACTTTGCCCCTTCTTGATCATTCTTACTTGTATACTTATTAATTTATTTATTTTTTATTTTTTTGAAATCTACCTAGAACTATTTTATATTATGTAATATAATATAATACATAATAATATATATTAGATTATTAGCATATATTAATAATTATATATTATGTTTTATAATATAGTCAGGGTGGGGTGGACAAATACCATCCCCACCCTGTCCCCGACCCTAGAGTTTCGGGTTTTCCCCAAACCTACAACGAACCCCAATTAGTGGTAAAAACCCACCCCAATCGGGGTGGGGCAGGGCGGGGCCCCATGGGGACAGGTGAAATTGCCATTTCTAGGTGTTGTCAGGACATTGAGCACGACACACGCACCCTCAACACCTAGGTCGATTTCAAGTGAGAGACCAAACGATAATTTTACCATGAGAACATTAAGTACCTTGCGTGGAGGAAGATGAAGAACCTTGGACGCAAGGACTCGTTGCACAACTACATCCGAGAATTCTTGGCCTTAACGCTTGAGATCTCTAATATTTCAAGTGAGGGTTTCTTGCTTAACTTTATGGATGGTTTCAAACCTTGGGCTGATTTTGAAGTACAACAACGAGGGGTGAAAGACCTAGCAATAGCCATGGCTGTGGCCAAGCAACTTGTTAATGCAAAGAAGCTTGATGAAGACCACTAGCCAACTAGCCCACGTACCAATAGCTTGAGTTGGGGTAACCTACAATTGACTTCTTCTTGGGAAAAACAATTGTACCCCAACAATCCAATCAATCAACAACAAGGAGCTAGGGGTGTAAACAGATCGAATTCGAATTGAATAAGACAATATTCGAATTTGAATCTAATTAGAAAATTCGATATCTGACGGATATTGAAAATTAATATTTGAATTTGAATTTGATTAAACATTTGAATATTCGATAATTATTTTAGGTAATTAATAAATATATAAAATAAATATTTTATTTATATAAAGTATATAAATATATAAATTATTTATATAATTTAATTGTTATATATATTTATATAAATTATATAAAAATATTTAAATATTTTATATATTATCTATAAGAATTAAATAATCGATCGAATTCATATATTTATCGAATCAAATTGGGTCATATCCGAATTCGAATCCAATTAGCTATTCGATATGAATAGGATATCCGAATTTGACCGATTAGATATTTGAATTATTTGAATTTGATTTGATTATGTTGAATCTCGAATTTGAAATCGGATTTTCTAATACCGTTGACACTCCCCCTACAAAACTCCCAAAATTACAAGTACACCAAGAGACCCACAACACCTCCTTCGCCTTGCTTCATTTGCAACGAAATGCATTGGACCAGTAAATGTCCGATGTATAAGAAAATCAATGCCCTCATCTTCAAACTTAGTGTTAAAGAAGAGAGTGATGAGGACAAACCCGCACAAGTGCCAAGGGTAGGTGACTTACAACTTATAAATTCCATGGTCAAGAAAGATGCCACATCTAAGCAGCCCAACAAGGCCCACAAGGGGCTGAAATATGTAGACATCACCCTTAGTAGGAGGTTGACTCAAGCCCCGATAGATACTAGTAAAACTCACAACTTCATCTCCCTTGTCAAGGCAAGGTGACTTGGCTTGACCACCACCAAACAATCAAGTTGGATCAAGGCCATCAACTCAGAGCCCAAGGTAGTGGAAGGAATGGCTCGAAGAGTAGAGCTCCAAGTTGTCCTTGGAATGGAGTTTTTGACACAAGTGGAAGCATCCCTCATGCCATAGATTGATAGCTTACTCATCTTGGATGAGCAATCCCCTTGCATGATCCCAGTGACAACTACAGTCAAGATACATGAAAAGCAACTTTCAGCCATATAGTTGTATTAGGAAGGAGCCACCCATAGAGTTAGCGTTACACCAACAACAAAGAAGATCCCCACTCAAACATCTCACACTAGCACAAGGACAGATCGGGAAGTCAACATGAAGCCATTTCCATCGAAAACATTCTTGCACTAGCATCAACACAACAAGCACCCAACGAAGAAGACACCAAGAAGACCCAAGGCCATATACAACAACACATCCACCTACTACCAAATTAATCGGGGTGAGAGAGTGCCAACCACACCAATTAGGGATCATAGCCCAACATGGCCTCGACCCAATACTTGTAGTAGCCTTTTGAGGAAACACCTTTGGGAAACACACAATGGGAATCAACACTCCCACCATCCAAAGCCTCAACCACACCAAACTTGGCCTCAACATATCACTTGAACAAACCCACTCTTCTCATGGCCTACCTTCATGCCATTTTCCAAGCACTTAACCCAAACTTTAGTTGTAGGACACCCCGAACCATCAACAATCCTCAAGCCTACAACCCAAGCCCTAGGAAGTTCGATTTTCATGGACTAGTAGAAGAATCCTCTCTCACTAGCAAAACAACTGATCAATTTGAAGCCAATCTCCGAGGATGTAGATCAAATTGAGTGAGGGAGGCTATCAGAATCAAATCCTTCGATCACACCACCAGCATGCCAACCAAGTGTCTTTGTGTGTGTCTTGGGTGGGCAATATATGTATTTTGCATGTAGGGGACTGCCAATAGCAACATTGTAATTATCAATATGATTTTTTACAATCTTGTTATATCCTTCTCTCAAAACCCTAAAAGTTTAACTACCTCTTTAGGGGGAGGTAGATAGAAGGGAACTAAGGTGTAAAGGTTAAGCATGGGGGCCCCTTGATACATCAATTGTGTGCTTATACTTAACACATTAATTCAATACATAATGCCTCTTTACTAATTTGTGTGCCATTGTGTTACCTTTTTCTTGTGTTGTTGGTTTGTCACATAGGCTTACTCGACACATTTGGATGCTACACGGGGCTTCAACATTTATCCTCATGACAACAGGGCAGGGTTCTTGGATTGAAATCAATCCCATGATGACTAGGGAACATTTTGGTAACCCAAGTGCAAGGGGGTGTAACTTGGGCCCTAAAGAAGTTGTCCCATCAGTCATAAAATACATGGGGTCCATAGTAAGGGATTGAATGGTTATGGGCCCATGTACTTTATTATTGGCATGGGACATTACCATTGGTTCCATAGCCTATGATATAGTCATCATGTTTAGTTAATCTGAATGAGGTTTTAGTTGGGATTTGGTTTAGACTTGGGCCAGATTTTGGCTACCTAACGATTAAGAGGGCATTCGTTAGTGTGAAAATATTGTGGACGGGACTGTCTTGGTCCTATCCATGGTAGAATGTGGTGTTTTGCTGTGTGTGAATGGTCCTCATCCGAAAAATAGCATGGACAGGGACGTACCATACTCTAATTTATTCCCTAGTATTTTCTCATGGATGGGCCTCACTATGGTGTGAACAGCTTGTGGGAAAGATTCGGTGTAACACATCTGTATTATATTGGTCCAACTACTCTCATTATTTAATCTTTTAACGTATTTTAATTTATATAAAATAATTTTTAAATTATTTATTGCTGAAGATAATATTATAATGACAAATATATTTATTTT